CTTAGCAATGCCTGCGAATCGATTCTTCGCATTTAGATCCTTCCATTATTCCATCATTGGGTGTTCTCTGTGCTGGCCTCGTTGGTGACGCGAAACATCTGGAGGAAGTGGTCCAACTCACTCTTGCCCTATTTCGCCTTTCTTTGGAGTATCCTGGATTACCCTTGGGAAAACGGTAAGGATACATGTCATATTAAGTAGATGTGACTTAATAAGGGTCTTTAGTGGGCGAACTCGTCTCGGTCAAACCATCTCTGAGGTAGGAGTGAACAAAGAGAACTACTCCGAGTTGATGCGATTGTTCCTATCCACAAGGGATTCACAAGGGCAGAAGGTTAGCTAAATTTTGCGCGTTCTATAGTTACAAACGACCCAATAGCAATGCTCTGCCATTTTCTCAAGGTTGAGTTACCCAAACACGCATAAAAACTTCTTTTACAAGTTTTCATGAGAAATACGCAAGAGATTTATGTTTTGAAATTACAGTGTCACTACAGTTGCTCTCAACATATCCTTGTAAAAATTGATGATTGATTTTATTCAGTTTTCTGATTTCCTGGTCGAACGCAATTTTGCGGAGTTGTCGGGCGAGGAGAAAGCCTCAATATTGGCGTATTTGTGTAATGAATTGCTATGCTGCCCAAATATCGTCAAGGAAATCGATCGAAATTTGGAGGAAGTTGGTCGATTGAAGGGAGATCGATGGATGCGTGATGGAAAGGCAAATTTTTCGTGATTTGATTTTTTTAAAATTTTAACTTAACACCTTTTTCAGGCTCGCGCTCTTCGAGTTGTGCAGCGTCGGAAACTAAAAGCCGAACGAGGAGTGCATAACAGCGAATCCGAGGGCCAACCGCACGATGATCGACCACCATCGAGAAATTCTGAAGCTTCGGACACTAGCCGTCCAACTACTCCCGTTCCAACCGCAAGAGATCGGCGTTTGACTCCAGGATTAGGACAATGTGAAATTCTTACCGAAGAGGTAAGAACATTGGTGGATAATCTATAATAACGACGTCTAAGCAACTCATCTAAACGAAACAATTTGTTAGTCATAGAATTTTGAGATGATTTCAAGATTTGAATTGAATAGGATTGTTCCCAAAACAGTCTATTGCATATAACAAGTTGTTTTCTACACATTTATGTTCAAGTTAGGCATTAATTAAAATCAATTTTCTTTAGGAAGAAAAAATGTTACCAGAACAGTTGGAAGTACTTATTGACTCGCTGAACACTGAGGCTGAACATTTAAAGGAGAAGATTAATGAGCTATCCACAAAAGTTCGAAGTTTTCCGCTGGGATGTGATCGCTACCATAGGTTGGTTGATTCTAGAATCTTTTTTTGTAGGTAACTTTAAACTTTTTTTTTAAATTTTAGGCAGTACTGGCAAATTCCTGGCGCCCCATCAATCTTGGTCGAGTCGATCGAAAGTTCTGGTCCATCAAATCCTGCTTGTAACACGGAAGAGACTTGTACTAAAGATCCACCAGAGCTTAAAGGTACCAGTGTCACATTATAGCAGAATAATGAGATGATTTTCTTTTCAAGACCAATCACTTTGGCATTTAATCAAACTTTCAGCTCACTGCTTCATCCACCCGGATGTGATGGCCTGTGTCGAAGATCTTGTAGACGACGTTGTCACCGGTCGATCTCACACGGATCGACGTAAGCGAAAAAGATTCCGTCGCATGGATAACCCATTCAAGAGAGGGTGGTGGTCGGTGGACACTAGGTAGTTCTTCTTGATTTTGCTTTATTATAGGAGGTTAACTCCTCTTTTAGGGAGGCTTTGGAAGCTGTACGAAGCAGTCTACATGGCAGGGGTATACGTGAACGTATCCTACATCGGCTGTTATGCAAGTCTTGGTTTTTAAAGGACGTCAAATTAGGCAAAGGCTAGTTTCTTACACCATTTTTTTACGAAGTAATTGTAAATAATAAGGTTTAGTGGAGCTGGAAAAAGTGGGCGAGGAGATTGACCTGCAGAAGTTCAGAGATTTGAGCCTTAGCGCTGTACATCGTCGGTTGGATGAACTTGAGACCCGGATAACTAAGGCTAAAATTGCTGCCAGAAGTGAGCTGGTGAAGAATTCTGAGCGATTTCTGTAAAATTCGTGAATTTAGTGACTGCTAATGGACACCTGCGGAATGAAGAAAAATCTATAATTGAGCTCAAACAGAGAATACTTTACTGTGAGCGACGAATTAATAGGAGCTACTTCAGGCCCAGCTTCTGCGTTGGGTAAGTAGAGCCTTCTGGCCATTTGTAAAGCATTCAAACTTTTTCTTTAGCGACAAGAAATATCTGGCCTACACTCTAAAAGTGGAGAACGAACCAACTAGGAAAGATTGCCATCACCCTGACGAGGAAGATGAAAGATCAGAAGCGGACAAAGATGAAGAAGGTGTTGAAGACGGGGAAAGGGAAGATTCTGATAGCC